CATCCCTACCTTGCTAAATTTCCACTACAATGGTTAGTCAACCCTACCTTGCTGAAACCCTCCTACCTTGCTGAATCCCCCCTACCTTGCTTAAGCACCCCTACTTTGCTCTATTCTCCCTATCTTGCTAAATCACCCCTTCCTTGCTTCATCTCCCCTACCTTCCTTAATCACCTTTATCTTGCTGATCCCACCCTCTTGCTGAATTCCCTTTACCTTGCTTAATCACCCCTTCCTTGCTTAATCAGTCATATCTTGCTGAATTCCTAATACCTTGCTTAATCACCCCTGCTTTGCTGAAGTACCACCCTTTTGCTGAATTTCCTCTACCTTGCTTTATAATTCCTACATTGATTTATCAACCCTATGAAGCTTAATCATCCCTTCCTTGCTGAATCCCCCCCACCTTTCTGAATCATCCCTACCTTGCATAATTACGCCTACCTTGCTGAGTTCCCCCTTACCTTCTTTAAGCACTCCTACCTTGCTTAGTCTCGCATACTATGATGAAGAACCCCTACCTAGCATTAATCATCCCTACCTGTCTGAATTCCCCCTCTCTTGCAGAATCCTCCCTACCTTGATGAATTTTCCCTTACTGAATCTCCCCTACCTTGCTGAATTTCCAGTACCTTGCTTAATCACCCCTACCTTGCTCAATCACCCCTACCTTGCTGAATCCCCCCTACCTTGCTGAATTCTCCCTATCTTGCTGAATCCCCTTACCTTGCTTAATCACCCCTACCTTGCTAAATTATCACTATCTTGCTGAATCATCCCTACCTTTCTCAATCACACCTACCTTGATTAATCACCCCTACCTTGCTTAATCACCCTTATCTTGCTGAATCCCCCCTGCCTTGCTGAATCCCCCCATCCGTATTGAATCAACCCTACCTTGCTGAATTCCCCCTACCTTGCTGAATTCCCACCTCCTTGCTGAATTCCCTGTTCCTTGCTTAATCACCCCTATCATTCCTACCTTGTTGAGTCACTGCTACACTGCTGAATCCCTCCTAACTTGCTGAATCATTCCTACCTTGCTTAATCACCCCTAAATTGCTCCATCCCCCGTATCTCGCTGAATCTACCCTACCTTGCTGAGTTCTCTTCCACTGTCTGAGTCCCCCCTCCCTTTCTGATTTACTCCGACCTTTATTTATCGTCCCTACCTTGCTGAATTCCCACCACGTTGCTTAATCAACCCTCTCTTGCTAAATCACACCTACCTTGCTTAATCACCCTTATCTTGCTGAATCCCCCCTGCCTTGCTGAATCCCCCCATCCGTATTGAATCAACCCTACCTTGCTGAATTCCCCCTACCTTGCTGAATTCTCGCTACCTTGCCGAATCCCCGCTACCTCCTGAATCACCCCTACCTTGCTGAACTCTCCCTATATTTTTTAGTCATCCCTATCTTTCTGAATCTCCCCTCCCTTTCTGAATCACCCCTACCTTTATTAATCATCCCTATCTTGCTGAATTCCCACTACGTTGCTTAGTCAACCCTAACTTGCTGAATCACCCCTACCTTACTTAATCACCCCTACCTTGCTGCATTCTCACTGCCTTGCTAAATTTCCCCTTCCTTTTCTAATCACTCATACCTTGCATAATGACCCCTACCTTGATTAATCACCCCTACCTCAATCACACAAAAATTACAGAATTCCCCGTATATTGCTAAATCTACCCTACCCCGCTGAGTTTTCTCTATCTTGCTGAATCCCTTCTTCCTTGCTGAATCAACCCTACCTTGCTTCATCAACCCTCTCTTGCTCAATCGGCCATACCTTGCTCAATCAACCCTACCTTGCAGAATTCCCACCCTCTAGCTGAATTCCATCTACCTTCCTTGCTTAATCACCCGTTTCTTGCTGAATCCCCCCTCCCTTGCTGAATATCCCCTTCCTTGCTTAATCACCCCTACCTACTCCCTATCTTGCTGACTTCCCACCCTCTTGCTTAGTCACCCTCACATTGATTGATCATCCCGATGATGCTTAATCATCCCTACCTTGCTGAATTGTCCCTTGCTTGATGAATCATCCCTCCCTTTGTTAATCACCCCTACCTTGCTTAATCACCCCTACCTTGCTAAATCACTCCTACCTTGCTTATTCACCCCCACCTTACTTAATCACCCCTACCTTTCTGAATTCCCACCCTCTTGCTGAATTCCCTCTTCCTTGCTTAAACACCCCTACCTGGATTAATCATCCCTAACTTACAGAGTAACCGCTAAATTGCTGAATCCCCCCTCTCTTGCTGAATCTCGCCTACCCTTTTGAACCCCCCCTTCCTTGCTGAATCATCCTACCTTGCTTAATCACGCCAAAATTTCTCCATTCCCAATATGTCATTGAATTTTCCCTTCCTTGCTGAGTTCTCTTTCTCTTGCTGAATCCCCCTCCCTTCCTAAATCATCCCTACCATTATCAATCATCCCTACCTTGCTGAATTCCCACTACATTGCTTGATCAAGCCTACCTTGCTGAATCACCCGTACTTTGCTTTATCACCCATACATTGCTGAATTCCCACTACCTTGTTTACTCACTCCTACCTTGATTAATGATCCCTATTCTGATTAATCACCCCTATATTGCTTAATCACCCAAAAATTGCAGAATTCCCGATATCGGCTGAATCCCGCCTCCCTTGCTGAATCACCCCTACCTTGCTTAATCACCCCTACCTTGTTGAATCACCCCTAAACCCTTATCTTGGATAATCAACCCAATCTGCTGAATCCCCCCTTCCTTGTTGAATGAACCCTACCTTGCTGAATCCCCCCTTCCTTGCTGAGTGCTCTCTATATTGCAGAATCCCCCATACATTGCTTAGTTACCCTTACATTGCTCAATTCTCACTATCTTGCTGAATCATATCTAACTTAGTCACCACTACTTTCTTAATCACCCCTACCTTGTTTAATCACCCCTACCTTGCTTAATCACCCCTGCCATGCTTAATCACCCATACCTTGCAGAATTCCCACCCCCTTGCTGAAGTCCCTCTACCTTGCTAAATAACCCCTTCCTTGCTTAATTACCCCTGTCTTGCTGAATTCCCACTACCTTGCTTAATCACCCCTACTTTGCTGAACTTTTGTCCCATTGCAGTATTCCCTATAGCTTGCTTGATCACCCCTACCTTGTTCATTATCCCTATGATGCTAAATCATCCCTACCTTGCTGAATCACCTCCACCTTGCTGAATCATCCCTACCTTGCTGAATTCCCACTATCTTGCTGAATACCCAATACCTTGTTTAAGCACTCCTACATTGCTAAGTCTCCCATACTTTGTTTAATAACCCCTACTTAGCATAAATCACCCCTACCTTGCTGAATTCCCACCACCTTGCTGAATGCCCCCCACCTTGTTTAAGCACTCCTACCTTGCTTAGTCTCCCATACTTTGATTAATAACCCCCACCTAGCATAAATCACCCCTACCTTTCTGAATTCCCCCTCTCTTGCTGAATCCCCCCTACCTTACTAAATTTCCACTTCCTTGCTAAATCACCCCTACCTTGCTCAATCACCCCTACCTTTATTGATCACCCTTTACTTACTTAATCACCCCTATCTGGCTGAATCCTCCCTACTTTGCTGAATCCCCCCTGCCTTGCTGAAATCTCCCTATCTTGCTGAATAACCGCTACCTTTCCTTATCTCCCCTTCCTTGCTGACTTCTCTCTATCATGTTGAATCATCCCTCCCATTCTTACTCACCCCTACCTTGCTTAATCACCCCTACCTTTCTATATCAACCCTGCCTTGCTTAGTTACCCCTACCTTGCTGAAGTCCCAACCTTTTGCTGAATTCCGTCTACCTTGTTCAATTATCCCTACAATGCTTAATCATCCCCACCTTGCTGAATCAACCCTACCTTGTTTAATTACGCCTCCCTTGATGAATTCCCACTACCTTGCTGAATTAACCCTACCTTGTTTAAGCACTCCTACCTTGCTTAGTCTCCCATACTATAGCATTAATCACCCCTACCTTGCTGAATTCCCCATCTCTTCCTGAATCCCCCCTACCTTGCTGAATTTTCCCTATCTCGCTGAATCTCCCCTAGCTTGCTAAATTTCCACTACCTTTCTTAATCACCCCTACCTTTCTAAATCACCCCTACCTTGCTTAATCACCCCTACCTTTATTTATCACCACTATCTTGCTGAATTCCCACCTCCTCGCTGAATTTCCTCTTCCTTGCTTAATCACCCATATCATTCCTACCTTGTTGAGTCACTGCTACATTGCTGAATCCCTCCTAACTTGCTGAATCCTGCCTACCTTGTTGAACCCCCTCTTCCTTGCTGAATCATTCCTACCTTGCTTAATCACCCCTAAATTGCTCCATCCCCCCTATCAGGCTCAATCTACCTTACCTTGCTGAGTTCTCTTCCTCTTGCTGAATCCCCCCTCCCTTTCTGATTTACTCCGACCTTTACTTATCGTCCCTACCTTGCTGAATTCCCACCACGCTGCTTAATCAACCCTCTCTTGCTAAATCACACCTACCTTGCTTAATCACCCTTATCTTGCTGAATCCCCCCTGCCTTGCTGAATCCCCCCTGCCTTGCAGTATCCCCCCATCCGTATTGAATCAACCCTACCTTGCTGAATTCCCCCTACCTTGTGGAATTCTCGCTACCTTGCCGAATCCCCGCTCCCTTTCTGAATCACCCCTATCTTTATTAATCATCCCTACCTTGCTGAATTCCCACTACGTTGCTTCATTAACCCTACCTTGCTGAATTTCCTCTACCTTGCTTAGGATCCCCTACCTTGCTGAATCCCCCCTTCCTTGCTGAGTTACCCCTACGTTGCGTAATTACCCCTGCCTTGCATAATCACCCTGGTCTTGCTGAGTCATCCCTACCTTTATAAATCACCCCTACCTTGCTTAATCACCCCTACCTTGCTTAATCACTGCTACCTTGCTTAATCACCCCTGTCTTGCTTAATCACCCCTACCTTGCAGAATTTCCACCAACTTGCTGAATTCCCTCTACCTTGCTTAATCACCCCTTCCTTGCTTGATCACCCCTATCGGTCTGAATTCCCACTACCTTGCTCAATCATTCATACCTTGCTGCATCCCACCTACCTTGCGGAATCCCCCCTTCCTTGCTTAATCACCCCTACCTTGATTAATCATCCCAAAATTGCACAATTCCCAAGGTTTTGCTGAGTCTCCCCTACGTTGTTGAGTTTTCCCTATCTTGCTGAATCCCCCCTCCCTTGCTGAATCACCCATACCTTGCCTAATCAACCCTACCTTGCTGAATCTGCCCTTCCTTATTGAATCAACCCTACCTTGCTGAATCCCCCCTACCTTGCTGAATTCTCTCTATCTTACTGAATCTCCCCTACCTTTCTTAATCATCCCTACCTTGCTGAATTATCCCTATCTTGCTGAATCATCCCTGCCTTTCTTAATCACCCCTACCTTGATTAATCATCCCTACCTTGCTGAACCTCCTTGCTGAATTTCCTGTTCCTTGCTTCATCACCCCTACCTTGATTAGTCACCCCTACCTTGCTGAGCCACTGCTACATTGCTGAATCCCCCCTAACTTGCTGAATCCCGCCTACCTTGTAAAACCCCCTCTTCCTTGCTGAATCATCCCTACCTTGCTAAATCACCCCTACATTGCTCCATCCCCCCTATCTCACTGAATCTACCCTACCTTGCTGAGTTCTCTTTAATTTTCTGAATCCCCCTCCCTTTTTGAATCACCCCTATCATTATTAATCATCCCTACCTTGCTGAATTCTCACTACCTTGCATAATCACCCCTACCTTGCTTAATCACCTCTACCTGTATTAATCACCCCTACCTTGCGTAATCAACCCTACTTTGCTGAATCCCCCCTTACTTGTTGAATGAACCCTTTATCGATGAATCCCTCCTACTTTGCTGAATTCTCACTATCTAATTGAATCCCCCCTACCTTCCTTAATAACCCCTACCTTGCTGAATTCTCCCTATCTTGCTGAATCATCCCTACTTTTCTTAATCACCCATACCTTGCTTTATCACCCCTACCTTGCTCAATGACACCTGCCTTGCTTAGTCACCCCTTTCTTGCTTAATCACCCCTTTCTTGGTTTATAATCCCTATGATGCTTAATCATCCCTACCTTGCTGAATTCCCCCTGTCTTGCTAAATCCCCCCTACCTTGCTGAATTTTCCCTATCTTGCTGAATCCCCCCTCCCTTGCTGAATCACCCCTACCATGCTTAATCACTTCTACTTTGCTGAATTTCCCCCCTTTCCTGAATTCCCTCGTTCTTGATTAATCACCCCTACCTTGATTAACCATCCCTCTGATGCTTAATCATCCCTACCTTGTTTAATCCCCCCCACCTTGCTGAATCATCCCAACCTTGCTTAATTACGCCTACCTTGCTGAATTCCCACTACCTTGCTGAATTCCCCCTACCTTGTTTAAGCACTCCTTTCTTGCTTAGTCTTCCATGCCTTGATTAATTACCCCCACCTAGCATTTATCACCCATACCTTGCTGAGTTCTCCCTCTCTTTCTGATTCTCCCCTACCTTGCTGAATTTCCTTCACCTTGCTCATTCATCCTTACCTTGCTTAATCACCCCTATCTTGCTTAGTCCCCCCTCCCTTGCTGAATCACCCCTACCAGGCTTAATCACCTCTACTTTGCTAAATTTCCACCCATTTCCCGAATTCCCTCGTTCTTGATTAATCACCCCTACCTTGATTAACCATCCATCTGATGCTTAATCATCCCTACCTTGTTTAATCCCCCCCACCGTGCTGAATCATCCCAACCTTGCTTAATTACGCCTACCTTGCTGAATTCCCACTACCTTGCTGAATTCCCCCTACCCTGTTTAAGCAATCCTTTCTTGCTTAGCCTTCCATGCCTTGATTAATTACCCCCACCTAGCATTCATCATCCATACCTTGCTGAGTTCCCCCTCTCTTTCTGAATTTCGTTCACCTTGCTCAATCATCCTTACCTTGCTTAATCACCCCTATCTTGCTGAGTCCCCACTACCTTGCTGAATCATCCCTCCCTTTCTTAATCACCCCTACCTTGCTAAATCACCCCTACCTTGCTTAACCACCCCTGCCTTATTTTTTTATCCCCACCTTGCTGAATTCCCTCTTCCTTGCCTAATCACCCCTACCTTGATTTATCATCCCTACCTTGCTGAGTCACCGCTACATTGCTGGATCCCCCCAAACTTGCTGTATCCCGCCTACCTTGTTGAACCCCCACTTCCTTGCTGAATCATCCCTACCTTGCTTCATCACCCCTAAATTGCTCCATTCCCCCTATCTCACTGAATCTCCCCAACCTTGCTGAGTTCTCTTTATCTTGCTGAATACCCCCTCCCTTTCTGAATCACCCCTACATTTTTGTATCATACCTACCTTGCTGAATTCTCACTACCATGCTCAATCAATCCTATCTTGCTTAATCATCCCTACCTTGCGAAATTTCCTTCTAGCTTGCTAAATTCCCCCTACCTTGTTTGATCCCTTCTGCCTTGCTTAATGACCCCCACCCTGATAAATCACCCCTACATTGCTTAATCATCCGAAAATTACAGAATTCTCCATACCTTGCTGAATCACCCCTACCTTGCTTAATCAACCCTACCATGTTGAATTTTCCCTTCCTTGCATAATTACCCCTACCTTGCACAATCACCCCTTCCCGTATATATCACCCATACCTTGCTTAATCAACCCTACCTTGCTGATTCCCCCCTTCCTTGTTGAATCAACCCTACCTTGCTTAATCACCCATACCTTGCTAAATCCCCCTACCTTGCGGAATTCTGCCTATCTTGCTTAGTCACCCCTACCTTTCTCAATCACCCCTGCCTTGCTTAATCACCCCATTCTCCCCATCTTGCAAAATTCCCACCCTTTTGCTAAATTCCCTCTACCTTGCTTAGTCACCCCTATCTTGATGTATAATCCCTACGATGCTTAATCATCCCTACCCTGCTGAATTCCCCCTTTTTTGCTGAATCCCCACTACCTTGTTGGATTCTCCCTTACTTCCTGAATCCCCCCTCCTTGCTTAATCACCCCTACTTTGCTGAATTTCCACTACCATGCTTAATCACCCCTACCTTTATTACTCACACCTACCTTACTGAATCCCCACTACCTTGCTTAATCACCACTAAATTGCTGAATTCCGCATATCTTGCCGAATCCCCCCTACCTTGCTGAATTCTCCCTATCTTGCTGAATCCTACCTACCTTGCTTTATCACCCCTACCTTGCAGAGTACTCACAACATTATTTAATCACCTCTACCTTGCTGAATTACCACTAACTTGCTTAATCACCCCTAACCTTATTAATCACCCCTTCCTTTCCTAATCACCCCAAAATTGTTTAATTCCCCCTATCTTGCTGAAGTCACCCTTCCTTGCTGAATCACCCCTAGCTTGCTTTATCTCCCCTAGCTTGCTTAATCACCCCTAGCTTGCATAATCACCCCTACCTTGATAAACCATCTCTAAGTTGTTTAATCATCCCTACCTTGCTAAATTATCCCTATATTGCTGAATCCCCGTTACCGTGCTTAGGATCCCCTACCTTGCTGAATTCCCCCTTCCTTGCTGAATTATCCCCACCTTGCGTAATCACTCCTGACTTGCTGAATCACCCCTGTCTTGCTGCATCATCCCTGCCTCTCTTAATCACCCCTACCTTGTGTAATCACCCCTTCTTTACTTAATCACCCCTGTCTTGCTTAATCACCCCTATCTTGCAGAATTTCCACCAACTTGCTGAATTCCCTCTACCTTGCTTAATCACCCCTTCCTTGCATGATCACCCCTATCTTGCTGAATTCCCACTACCTTGCTTCATCATTCATACCTTGCTGAATCCCACCTACCTTGCTGAATCCCGCCTTCCTTGCTTAATCAGCCCTACCTAGCTGAATTCCCCCTACCTTTTTTAATCACTTCTACCTTGCTTAATAACCCCTACCTTGATTAATCACCCCTAAGTTGCAGAATTCCCAAGGTCTTGCTGAGTCTCCCCTACGTTGCTGAGTTTCCCTTTCTTTGCTGAATCCCCCCTCCCTTGCTGACTCACCCATACCTTGCCTAATCAACCCTACCTTGCTGAATCTGCCCTTCCTTGTTGAATCAACCCTACCTTGCTGAATCCCTCCTACCTTGCTGAATTCTCCCTATCTTACTAAATCCCCCCTACCTTTCTTAATCACCCCTACCTTGCTCAATTCTCCCTATCTTGCTGAATCATCCCTACCTTTCATAAACACCCCTACCTTGCCAAATTCCCGCCCCCTTGTTGAATTCTCTCTACCTTGCTTAATCACCCCTTCCTTGCTTAATCACTCCTATCTTGCTGAATTCCCACTACCTTGCGTAATCACCCCTACCTTGCTGAAGACCCACCCTTTTGCTGAATTCCCTCTACCTTGCTTAATCAACCCTACCTTGATGAATCATCCCTATGAAGCTTAATCATCCTATCCGTTCTGATTCCCCCCCACCTTGCGAAATCATCCCTACCTTGCAAAATTACGCCTACCTTTCTGAATTCCCATTACCTTGCTTAACCCCCCCTACCTTGTTTACGCACTCCTACCTTGCCTAGTCTCTGATACTTTGATTTACAACCCCTACCAAGGAGATATTGCTTTTAGAAGTTTTGCACTTGACCCATACTAGACCAAAGCCTAACCATGCTGAGATCTGGATTTGATATAATAAACAAAAGCTAGTCCCATATTATTGGGTTCTCAAAATGGCGTTCGACTCGTGAGCATGACTATCGAACTGTAGGACCTGATTCCAAGTGGGCAAAGAGATATTACACTTAGAAATTTTGCACTTGACCCGTACTAGATCAAAGCCTAACCATGCTGGGACCTGGATTCTATATCATGAACGAAAGCTCCTAAGCCCCATATTCTTGGGTTTCCAAAAGGGCCTTCGACTCGTGAGCATGACCATCGAATTGTAGGGCCTGATTCCAAGTAGGCAATGAGATATTACTTTTAGAAGTATTGCACTTGACCAGTACTCGACCAAAACCTAGGCGTGCTGAGACTTGGATTCTAAATCATAAACAAAAGCTCCTATGCCCCATATTCTTGTGTTTCCTGAAGGGCCTTCGACTCGTGAGCATGCGTATCGAATTGTAGGACCTGATTTTACATGGGCAAAGAGATTAATTTTATAAGTTTTGCACTTGACCCATTCTAGACCAAAGCTTAACCGTGCTGAGACCTGGACTATATAACATAAACAAAGGCTAAAAAGCACTCACACGCCTCTAC